GTTTCATCTCTAAAAGCGACAACATTGTGCGTGGTAGTAGATCGGTTGTCAATGTGTGTGGCGGTAGATCGGTTGTCAATGTGTGCGGTGGTAGATCGGTTGTCACTGTGTGTGGTGGTAGATCGGTTCTCAATGTGTGTGGTGGTAGATCGGTTGTCAATGTGTGTGGTGAAGAGCTACTCTTTGAGCGATCAGTTGACGGACTTCCTTCTTCTGCCACGTGTTTAACAATATGTCGGATGTCGGATGAACGGTTTAAATCGGAGGGAGAGAGAGACTCACGGCTTTTTCGTTTCGCGGTTGCCGTTCGACTGGGAGATGGTGTTTTAAATCCAAGTCTTGTAGCCCATTCGATGAGCACGGTGGTGATCGTTGATGTTGTTGTGTCCGGTGCTTCATCTCTGTTTGATATCGCCTGATGTTGTTCTTCTCCACCCACATTGGAACTCGGTGATGGCGGTTTGTTTGAAATCGAATCGAAATCGGCGCTAAGATCTAGTGAACGTGATTTATTATAATGCTCTTTTTCTGAATATGCTATTATAAAAGAAAAGATGACCGTTATACGGACGAATTAAAAACAGAAAACAAAAAGAACGAATGGATTTTAACTCTGAGTTAAAACGGAATTGGAGTTCGAGTTTAGATTTCTTAACGGAGTTGGAGTTATACCTAGCCGGAGTTCCCCAGCTCTGATTTGCAGCGGTGCTTATATCTTCACAAAATTCCAGGACACATCTTCTTTTGAAGAGCACAGTTTCTTCTATTAGATTATGTAGAAGAAAAGAGTTTCAATGTACGAGAAACGAGAGAAAACATTTCGAAACTAAAAAAAACTAGAGTTTTCATTCTTTGAAGAAAAAACTTAGATAATTCCTAATGGGAGATCGCGAGGAGCCAGGAATGGCCTCGTTTTGTAGCCCATACTTTCCTCTATATTAGGCTATGGTCAAACAAAACTGGATAAGTTTTTGCAAGAAAGAGCGGGAAGTTTAGCCTTAACGATACTCCCATCTTTTTTTATCTTATAACGCGACCGACACAAAATGTAGGATTGACTCATGGTTTTTAGCAAAGCTCGAACTCAAAAAATGTAATCGATCACGGATTTGAAGTCGTCTCCTAGTACTTCGGGCTGCTACATTACTATTACTGGGTAATAAATAATAATTATTATTACTTTTCATCACCAATTGCTTTATTATTTATCATATTAATACTATTCGGAGTCTCACTGCTTCGTACTAGCAGTAAGGCATACTGCGTCCCTTACCTTTACCAACTTACATACGCGCTAGCGAACTCTCTTCTGTGACTTTTAAATCCCAGCGAGTCTAACTACGGTGTCTTGTGGATTCTTCTCTGATTTCATGTGGACGTGGAACATTCGTCATCTAATATAAATATAAAAGGATTTTCGAGACGCATCAAAAACTCACATATTATTGAAAATATATTCGAATCCAAGACAACGCCACTCGATTCTTTGGTCGGCGTTCGCAACCAACATACGTGAGGAATACTGCGAACTTCTCAAATTGTATGTAAAAGGTGCTCAACATAATAAAAATATAAAGACTTTTATGGACGTCCTCTGTTTTATGGAAAGAATCTGAAGCTACTTCTGATCGATTCATCATAATAGATTATCAATATTCTGTAAGTTTCAGTTGCCAAATTTTAATCTCAGTTTATAAGGCAAATTTTCTTCTTTTTGAAAACTGGAAAATATAGTATCAATATGTAAATGGTTCAAGCATAAAGTTAGTAAAAAATTTTATAAACTGGCGAAGGCGGAAACAGGTGTCTATTAATTAAAATGAAAGAGGCTTCGTTAAGAGGATAAATCAATCTTTAACCCTCCAAGTAGCGCCAGTTGAGCAGTCAGTGTTCTTCATAGTCGAGAGACCATAGCCGTCCAATCACTCTCGCATAAACATTGGAAAATAACTCACGATGCCAAAATAAGTTCCAATATTGTGTTAATGTCTCAATGTGAGAACCGAAATCCAATGGATGATTAAAAGTATTTTCTATCGTCTTTTTATTTTCTGATTACTTTTTGTAGTTATTACTTATTACCAAGTACTAAGTAATAACGCTTTTGTTATTACTTACTACTAGTAATAGTGAAGTAGCAGCCCTACTAGTATTACTGAGATCGTAACATTGTATGCTGATCGGCTACTGTCGCCATTGATACCATAGTCACAAAGTGATTGTTACTAGAAATGTATGATGAGTTAAAAATACATTAAAATAATAAAATCTTGTGTATCGAAAGAAACACTCATTGAGTCTTTCAAGAATATTTCAGAATGCTTATACTTTGACATTTCGTGTTCAAACTGCATCCAGATTTCCTAGTGCTAAACGAAAATTCGATTTGCTGTTATAGAAAATAAGTAGTGTTACTACTATCCATTTGAAAAAAGAAGGCCAGTCACTGTATGTCTAGTAACTTTGCACTGGAAGATGCTGGAGATCCACGGTTTTCGTTATCTGAAACTAAAATCTTGGGGCAACAAGAAAATAAGAGAAAACGTTTTTCCGAGTACTTTCAGGCGGTGTACCTTGCGTGGACATTTTGTAAGAGTTTTCCGGCCACTAAAACATTTTCGGATTTTGAATTCCTAAACGTCGAAAAGATCGCCCAACTCAAGTTCTACAAGTCTAGACTAGTCCCAGCTCGCTATCTCTCGTGGTTCACGAGTTATAAAGGTTTTCCGCGGACATGCTTATCTTAGTCCGGACGCGGTGGAGAACCTGGAAAAGTGTTGAGACATAGATGATCGAGTGTGCTGATTGTCGTGGCAATGTTTGTTTTGGGTTAAATTGAAAGTCGACCATAGAACTTCCAATTGACGTGCTTCAGTCATTTTACATTCAAACTGGCTCGAATTTTCAGGAAATACTCTAACCACATTATTAAAACGGATTGAATCGTAGAAAGTTTAAGGGCCCCCCCCCCCTCAGAAATTATCTCCGACACCGTGTATCCGATCTTGACGAAACTTTCCATAAATATTCGGCACAATGAGTTACGGGAATGAAAAAATTTTTTTGTCTCCAAGTCTTACGGTTTAGGAGTTTTCCAGAGATCAAGGTCCAAAAAGGACCCTGAACGGCGTCCCAAGATTTTTTAATATACTTCAAGCTGG